TGAGAAAGTTGAAGCTGACTGGAAGTAACAGGTCCAAGGCCACAGAAAGCTTCAGTGGCAGAGCCAGGGTTTGACCCCAAAGACTCTTAACTCCAGAGCCCACAAAGGGAACCTCTCTTTTGCTGGGCTTCCCTCTGTCGGTTGAATATTAACCTCAAAAAGGGGTCCCTGAATCTTTGCCAACGTGGCCAGTCCAAGCAAAGCAGATGATTTAGTGTATAAAGAAGTTCTTCGCTGGAAGACTATTTGGATTTTCTCTGCAGCTGGCCTTTGAGGCCCTTCTTGACATCTCCCCTGTCCCTTCATGCTAGGCGACTTCCCCAAGAACCCCCAGGAAGATGCAGCCCTTCTTGGAATTCTTGTGGCTTCTAGGTGGCCTCTACCGTGTGCTCCCTTGCCTCATGGCCATCTCTGGACAGGGAGCGCTGCCTAAGTTCTTCAGACGGTGATGAGCCTCATGTGGTCTGCTGACCTGGCGGCCTCACCCTTGACGGGCTCTGCTACCTCTGTGAGCTCCAGCTTCTAAGATGGGCACCTGCTGGGCCCACTTAATGGGGCACTGGATGAGTTCTTAGGTGAAGGCCACTTCACAAAATTCCTTGCATCTAGAAGTCACTCAGTAAATCAGAACAACAGTAACAGCGGCAGCCAGCAGTTTCAGGGCGTCCAAGGTGTGCAGGACTGTGGCCCTCATACGTGTTAGGCACTTACACTTAACCCTCATGGCAGCCTTCGAAGGGAGGGGCTGAATCAGCCCCATTTCACAGATGAGGTCGCTGAGGCATACAGAGAGTGAGCAGTGGGTTCATCGCTTCCCTCTGTGTCCTTCTCTCACTTCCTGGGCCTCAGTGGCCATGTGGCCACAGGCACACTGTGAAGGTGGTCAGTGGTCAGGCTTAACGAAATGGACATATTCATTTTCAGCATCCCTCCAAGGGTGAATGCAGAGAGGTGGTTTCTCCCTGGCGCATTTTTTTGTTTAGCAAAGGCTTCCTGAGCCCTATTGGTGTGTGAAGACATCATGCTGGGCCCAGGGAGCCCAAGAAATCAGTGACAGCTCCTGAGGCAGAAGGGAGAAGGCAGAGGGTTCTCACTCCTGCCAGGAATGCGAAGAGCCAGTGGAGTTCAGTACCTTGTGCAAGGGCTTCCCGGAGGAGGGGCATTTTCAAGGTGGGATGGAACTTGCCGGCCTGAGAAGAGGCACAGAGGCCCCAGTATTAGGGAGCACTTGGCACGCTGAACCGTTGCTGCTGACATTGCAGGTGGCTTCTGGCCTTGGTGCTTCTGTGGGTGAAGCAGGATTGTTGGGGCAGTTTGGGCTGGACAGGACTGTGGCTGGGAGCAGCTTGTGGTGGGATACCGGGCAGGCCATGCTGGATTAGGGTTGTACAGAGTGGGGCAGAATTATTAAAAAATGCCAAGCCCCTGTGACCGGGCCAAGCATGTCTGCGGGTTAAATTGCTTGTTGGAGAGAAGAAGGGCTCTCAGGCACCCTCCAGACCCTCCTCGCATCCCAGCCAGGCCCTGCCTTTCTGATAGCAGCCCAGGAGTCGGGTTGGTCCTTCATCCTTGGGCACAGGGACCAGGCATTCCCCCAGTGGTGGTATCTTGAGTCCAGGCAGTGGCGTCACATCAGCAGGGCTGCTGGGGGGGCCTGCGGGGGCGAGAGCCTTCTCTGCGACAGCAGGAGCCCATCTCCCCCAGAATGAGATGAGTCACAGTCCCGTCGGTGCGGCTGCCACTTCTGCTTCTGCAGCAGGTATGTGTGGAGGCAAGCTAGTCCTGAGACCGCCCCACACGCTGTGCCTGTCTCTTCCCCAGTGCACGGGCAGCATGCCAGCAGGGCCTCGCGTGTATGCACGGACGTGTCCTCCATACGCCTGTGTGCATCTTTGCTCTGGGGCAGCAAACCTTCCAGACAGGCAGTGGGATGCCCAGTTTGGGAACGTTGGTTAGCTTTGCTTCTCACCAAGTTTGGGGCAGAGGGGACGAAACAGGAAGGAGCTGGTTTCCGCCCACAAGGCTCACCCACGGAGCTGCAGGGCAGTTGGGAGCTTGTTCATGGGCCTGTGTAGTGTCCTGGGCTGAGGTGGTAAGGCAGCGGTTGCCCACTCCCTGGCCTCAGGCAGGGCCCTGCCGGCCCCTGGGGGTTCCCACAGGGGTTCACTTCCTGAGCCTGGCCAGGCATGTTCTCAAAGGACAGCAACCTGGGTCTGAAGGCCATCAGCCTGGAGGGTTGGTGGGGACTTGTGGGGCACAAGTTCTGGGGAGAGAAGCCACTCAGGCTTGGGTTTTGTTCAGTTGCGGGGGACCCTCTGGTCATCCAGCACACCTAGGACATGGGCCTTGAGAGCAGCAGGTGCCCAGGGGATCTCCTCTTCGTTTTGTGCAAGCATAACCTGTAGATCCTCCCTGTGAGATTCTGGTGTGCCAGTTCTGGAACCAGGTGGTGCTCCGGGTCCCCAGTGACCTTCCTGGGAGACAGAGGTTGTTCCAGCCCAGCCTCCCTGAGGAGCAGGTTCACTGCTGCTTTCCTGTGTTTCTCTGCCCTGCTCACTCCCTCTGGGCTCCCAGTCTCCAATCCGCCACCTGGAGAGCAGAGTCTGTCACCGTCTGTCACCTTTGGCATCTGGATCTCCAATGAGCCACCACTCCTTATCGTGCCTGGCCAACGGAGCGCCTCTACTCCAAATGCGAGTCGTGCAGTTTCCTCAGAAATCACGAGCAGCGCTCAGTTGGGCAGCCCTCTGACTGCGTTCTCCTCTTTGAGCCACATCAGACTTAGGCTGCCAAACCTGTGTTCAAGCTTATTTGACCAAGATCCACGATAAATACACATACGACACCTCGATCCAAGGTGCACATGTATTTGTGTATAAAACCAAGACGGAAGCTCAAGGACTAATATTCATCTTTATTGTGTGCTCACACTCAGTCACTTTCTAGTTGATTCTTTTTTCTCCCCTGTTGGTTGGATGTCATCACCTGCTTAGATTCCGTGACCCACAGTTGGAAAACACAGAGTAGAGTGGAGGTATCATCTGATGCCCATTTTACAGATGAGGAGATTGAGTGCAGAAACTTGCACCAGGGTCCTAAGCCCAAAAGTCTATGCCATCACAGAGCTGTTCTGGAGGCAGACAGACAGTAATCAAATAAATATATAATTAGGACATTAGTGGTGGAGTGCCATGACAGAAAGTCCAGTACCAGGGTGAGGGGGCAGGCAGTGTCGGGTAGGAGTTGCTCTTTTATACCAGGAAGGCAGGGGAGGCCCCTCCAGCGATCTCAGACAGGAAGAAAGCGAGGGGCTGGCCAGGCTGAGAGATCTAGGGGAGAAGATATCCAGGCAGGGGAGGGGCAAGTATGAGCAGACAGTGGCGTGGTCCTGCCCTCCAGGCTGGTCACCTCTGCAGGAGCCCGTCTGACTTGACCAGCATTGCCAAGAGCTCAGCTGGGCAAGGCGCAGAGCACGAGACTTGGCTGCCCTGATCTCTACTGGCTGTAAGTCATGCGGCCCCCTGCCTCCCTCTGGGAAGTCCTCACGTCTGGGCTAGGCTCCTTGCGTCCGCAGAGGTGCCTCCCCAACACCTCCATCCCCAGTTGCCCTGGCTGCTAGGGTTGGACTGGCCCCTCAGCTAGGGTACAAGTCTCCCAGGTGTGACTGAGAACCTTTGCCATCTGCTGTCACCTGTGACTAAGACAGACACAAGCCACATTGCCCATCCCTTCTCCGAATTTCCTTCCCCTAACACACACACACACACACACATACACCCCCTGTGTGCCCTGGGTAGAGGCAGTGTCACAGCTGTGGGCACTTTGCTTTTCTGCTCCTCCTGGTTCCACGTCTAGAATTTTGTGACTTGGTGAGAGGGTGGTGCCAGAGAGCCAGTGCTGGCTCTCGTGGGAGAGGCAGCTTCATCCCCAGACTCCTGGGGGCTGGCACCCTGGCAGGTCTTCACGTCCTGCCCTTCGCTGGGATCTGCTGACCTCACTCTTGTGCACCCAAGTGGTTGGTAGGAAGCATCACTGGACACTCACTGTAGGCCTGAGCACAAGAGGTAGGGCTGAAGGCTAACTCCTTGCTTCTGATGTCTGAGAGCTCCTTGGGGAGATGTCCACAAATGTGGGTACTGCTGGACCTGGTGAGGGGAGCAGGGGAAATACGGTCCTGGTTGGTAAAGAGGAGGCAGTGTTTAGGGGAAGGGGCAGCTCCACAAGAGGACAGAGCCAAAGCGGGGTGAGGGAATGGTGGGGTCTGCCAGAGGAGTAAGTCATTCTTAAGTGTGAGTTTGGACTCTGCCTTATAAACGCCAGAGGCCACCAAAGGTCTTTAATTGTGCCGGGCATCTTAGGTGTTTGAGGGAGATTAGCTCGGGAGGGATGTACACGAGAGATCGGGGAGCGGGCAGGAGAGGGTGTGCAGCAGGTAGGCCTGTACCCATGTTGCTGGGGGTTGGGAAGGAAGGGTGCTGGTAGAAAGCCTGCATTCCCATGACCCCGGCAGCCAGGCTGCTGTGAAGGGCTGGGAGGCAGAGGGAAGGGCTGACACCCTCAGACTCGGACCCTTCCAGCCTGCACTGAGAGGGACTGAGCAGTTCCAAGGGTAAGGTGGTTTTGGAGAACCCAGGCTCTTCCTAAAGGGCCACATGGAGTCAGAGCCCCGGTGAAGGAGGAGCTCAGATTGGGCCTCAGGTCACACCACTTCATCGGTTGCGTGACCTGTGGACTCAGGGCTACGGGGAGACCCACAGCCATGGAAGCAGCTCTCTGCAGTGATCCGGGGAACGGTGGCCACTTCTGAACAGCCTGTCACCATGCAGGGCATATTGTTGTGCACTGGGCACTGAGACCGGCCTGGGGGTCCAGTACTGACTCAGATGGGGGTTACCTAGCACTGGCTGGGAGCTGCGGTCACTTGTTGGGGTGATGGGCATGGCCTGTCTTGAGTCTGTGCCTGCCAGGCCCTGAGGATCTCCCTCTGTCTCCCTCTGCAGTGATGGGTCGTTCCCCTATGACTCTGTCCCTTGGCAGCAGAACACCAACCAGCCTCCCGGCTCCCTCTCCGTGGTCACCACGGTTTGGGGAGTGACCAACACATCCCAGAGCCAGGTAAGAGCCTATACTGCCCTCAGCCACAGCTCCTTCTAGGTGGGAGTGTCCCTTGACCCCTGGAGCCACACCAACCCTCTTCGCCCTCCCAGGCCCTGCCCTGCTGGGAAGACCGGCTTCCAGGGCACACCCAGCTGTGGACACGTCTCCACCCCTGGCAGGCTCTGTACCCACCTCAGGAGGGCAGCCTCTATGGACTGTCCCCATCCTAAGGCCTTTCTGGGGGAATGGCATTCATCATACGGACAGCAAGGGGTTCTTCCCTAGCCCATTTGCTCTGGTAAACAGGAGAACTTCTGTGTTATTGGCCTCAGGGCTCCAAGGTCTGAGGTCTCTGACCCTGAATGTGTGGCCTGAGTTAGATTTCATCAAAATATTGTGCCTTGGACTTCTGACAACTCCCTACCCCCCATTGCCCTAGTCAAACCCGCCTCCCTCTCATTCCTTCCTTTCTTCCACTCCTCCTCTGCCCAGTCAGGGGGTCTCCCACCTGTCTGACCTCTGCTAGACTTAGCTGTGGCTACATGGAAGGCTCAGGGCTGCTTGTCACCCTGGAGGGAGCCACTGGGCTGACCTGTTGTTGTTGCCTGCTGCTGCTGCCCTCCAGAGCTAGCAGAATGGATTCCTCTTGGCCCTCACAGAGCAGCAGCCAGGGGCCTCGGGGCCCCTGTGTGACGAGACACTGGCATCCAGGCTCGTTTGTGGGGCAGTAGGCTGCATGGCCAGGGCTCTCCCCACTGGCCTCTGGCGCAGGAGCAGCCTCTCCTCCCTTCACGGGGCTGCCCAGCCCCTGGGGACCACTTGAGCTGGCTTTGTGGGGCTTGGTCATGCCCTCAGCTTGTTCCATCACAAGGCTGACCTTCTCATCCCCCGTGCCACCTGCCGCCCAGGCCCACTGTTACCACCAGTACACTCGGAGTAGTTCATCCACTCTCCATTTTTCTCCTCCTCCCTGTTGTCCTGCCTCCACTTTGTTCTTTCTCCCTTTCCCCTCTTCATTTATCTCCCTTCCTCTCCACGCTACCTGGGGTAGCACCTTAGGTGACAACCACTTTCTCTGCCCACAGGTCCTTGGGAACCCTATGGCCAATGCCAACAACCCCATGAATCCAGGCGGCAACCCCATGGCGTCGGGCATGACCACCAGCAACCCCGGCCTCAACTCCCCGCAGTTTGCGGGGCAGCAGCAGCAGTTCTCAGCCAAGGCTGGCCCCGCTCAGCCCTACATCCAGCAGAGCATGTATGGCCGGCCCAACTACCCCGGCAGTGGGGGCTTTGGGGCCAGGTGAGCAGGGTTGACTTGTGGCAGAAGCCATGGACCCCACCCCTCTCCCTCGTTTCAACGAGGAGGGTCCCACTTAAATCCCAGCTCCACGCTTTCTGCCCTGAGAAGTTATCCTCTGTTGTCCCAAGAGTTGAAGGGGCTCAGTCATCCCTGGCTCACAGGGCTGGCCCACAGATAAGGCGCTGCAGCAGCTGGGCTATGTTCTGACAGTCATCAGGCTTGTGGAAATAGAAGGGTGACATTCTTATTCCTCAAAACCTCAAAACGACCCTTGTCTGAATTGTGTCTTTAATAAATAGGAAGGTATTGAGAAAATCTGGATTGGGAAAGTTGAAGAGCAGGTATAGATGGGGTCCAGTTGCCCAAAGACAGTGAAACGGTCTGGGAAAATCTGCTCTGCCTTGCTGATTGGTGAAAGCAGAATGATGCAGATTGCGAGTCCCTTGGCTCAGGAGAAAGGGGCAAGGACTCGCAGGATTTGGAGCTCTGGGGAAGGGTGTGAGGCGAGCAGAGGTGCCCATTCTCCTCTTTCCGCCCCGCCCTGCCTAATACCCCCACCTTGGCCTCAACCCTTACCAGCCCTGGCTGGGTTTCTGACCTGGGGTTGGCACAGTAGTATAACCTGGTGGTTAAGCACAGGGATCAGAAACACCTGTAGCCGCAGCCACACCTCTGCCATCAATGCTGGAGGGCCTTGGGCAAGTTGCTCAGGTTCTCTGAGACTCAGTGTCCTTCAGAAGATGGGCTCACCGGGGCCCGACAGCATGCAGTGAGGGTGCAGGCACCCCTGAGGGCTCCAGGAGCACAGCAGTGTGGTCATTGCCAAGTGGCACAAATGAATGGCTGCCAATCCCAAGAGGCCCTCTAGGTTCTGGGTACAGCTCCATCCTCTCCCTCCCAGCCCACAGCTTGCTCTTGGTTCCCCTCAGATGCAGGTAGTACCTAAGTCTTCCACCCTTCTCTCCCTGCAGTTACCCTGGGGGTCCTAACGCCCCCGCAGGCATGGGCATCCCTCCGCACACCAGGCCGCCTGCTGACTTCACTCAGCCCGCGGCAGCCGCTGCAGCAGCGGCAGTGGCAGCAGCAGCAGCCACAGCTACGGCCACAGCCACGGCCACTGTGGCAGCCCTGCAGGAGACACAGAACAAGGATATAAACCAGTATGGACCGGTAAGGGTTCCCACTAATCTCGCCCAGCCAGCCAAGCAGACAGCCCTGGGAAAGCAGAGTTGGAGTGTCAGTGCTTATGGGGCCATGTGTGCTGGGGGAGCTGACTGCATTAGGGTGGATTTGGGCTTCCATGGAAGCATGCGGAGGTCTGTGTTTAGAATGGGGCGTGTCCGTGTGCTTGGGTGTGGTGGGGTATCTGGGTGCTGGTGTTTGTGTGTTGGTGGCTCGTGTACTGCTGCATATGGAGAAAAGGTTCCACATTGCTCTCTGGGCCCCCTACTCACCAAAGAGTGGGCTCGGTGTCTAAAAACAGTCTTGTGACCGATCTGTCTCCTGGATTGCCTCTGAGACCAGTGCCCTCCTAGTCACCCTATCCATGGGTCTGCGCAGGCCCCAGTGCTGCTCCCTGACCTTCCGAAGGGTGGGTTGGGGGATGAGGAGAGGAGGAGCCCCCATAGGAATGCAGAACAGGAGGCGAGGAGGTGGAGACTGCAGGGCAGTGGGGGCAGAAGTGGAAGCTGGGCTGAGGCCGACTTTGTGGATGGAGGGTGTGCCTTCATTGGCCCAGGGCCAAGGGCAGGGCCAGGGCTTCCAGGAAAGGGGCTGCAGTCTCACTCGGGCTCCTGCCTCCACCCTCATCTACCTCCACCCTCCCATGCCCTTCCCTGTCCCTGCACCCTTTCCTGATTTTCTGCCTGCCTCCCTCCCTGGAAATGCTGCCTGTGCATTGGAGTGACCGCCCCACCCCACCCCACCCTATCCCCTAACACCCCAGAGCTGCATCTCTCCTGTGCGGCTGCAGAGGGCAGCAGTGAGCCTGGGTGGATCCTGCTCCCCTGGGGCCTGGTTGGTCACCGGTCACTGCCGCACAGGACGGTCGGTGCCCCTTCCCCACCCCTCCACCTCCCCAACCCTTCCCTCCCTGCACTTTCAATGCATGTGGCATTTTATTCTTTTTTTTTTTTTTCTTCTCCCGTTGAAGGTCTGTTCCTCTTTCCAGATGGGTCCCACCCAGGCGTATAACAGCCAATTCATGAACCAGCCCGGGCCACGGGGCCCTGCCTCCATGGGGGGCAGCATGAACCCCGCGAGCATGGCGGCTGGCATGACGCCCTCGGGGATGAGCGGCCCTCCCATGGGCATGAACCAGCCCCGGCCGCCCGGCATCAGCCCCTTTGGCACGCACGGGCAGCGGATGCCCCAGCAGACCTACCCGGGCCCCCGGCCCCAGTCCCTTCCTATTCAGAACATAAAGAGGCCATACCCTGGAGAGGTGAGTGCAGCAGTGGGAGGCCGGGAAGTGGGAGCTGGGACACCTGGGCTTGAAGATGTGGGCCGTGGGTATGGCCTTGGAAGGGGTGTGTCTTGGACTCGAGCACACTCAGACAAAGAGGCAGGGGCTTAGCGGTCAGGTGCTTCTGGGTTTGAGACCTGGTTCTACTGTTTCCCAACTGGCAGACCTCAAGCCAGTCACCCTGTCTTCTAGGGCTGCTTGAGGGACTTGAGGAGATATCTGTGAAGTGCTTGGCCCTAGGCTGGCCTATGCCACCGCTCAGCAAGCAGCAGTTCCTCTTACTGTAGTGACTCTTGTCTTGGCTCAGCCACTAACTGGGTGACCTGGGTTTAGTTCCTCCTGCCCACATGAAGACTTCCCCAACTCCTCTCCAAGAAAGAGCTGAGACAAAATGCTTCCAGTCTATAAGGGCTGACCCGTCGGGGAAGTGGCTGGAAGGCAGGCAGCTCTTTCCAGTCTGTAAGGGCTGACCCGTCAGGGAAGTGACTGGAAGGCAGGCAGCTGTTTCCGGTCTATAAGGACTGACCTGTCGGGGAAGTGGCTGGAAGGCAGGCAGCCGTTTCCGGTCTATGAGGACTGACCCATCAGGGAAGCGACTGGAAGGCAGCAGCATGTTTCTTAGCTCTTGTTTCCATCCACACTTGGTCACTGTATAGGAAGTGGCACTGCCTCTTGGGCTGCACAGCCAGCTCAGCCAAGGTGTTGGGGAAGATTTAGGGAAGTAAAATCCATACCTCCTGCCCTCTGGGAAGTGAGATTTTAGCAGGAAAGAAAAGTTTTGAGTGGAGACTTAAAATGGGAATGAAGCGTAGCAGACTGCACAGAACTCAATGTGAGTCAGAGAAGGCAGGCTTCCTGGAGAGGGTGTCACAAGTGAACCCTCAGAAAACGATGCTGGCCAGAGAAAGACCATTGGCTCCTGGGTCCTGAGTTTGGGGGAGCCTCAAGCTATTGGCACCTCTCCTGGCACACAGCCCCCATGCGGTTTCTAGGCCTTTTCTCAGCCACCCTGTGCCCAAAATCCCAGTGTCCCACTGGCTGTGCTGGGGATGCATCTGTTAGCCGACAGCAAAGCAGGCAATCTCGGACAAGGCTTCAGCGGAATTCCTGGTCATTGGTGTCACCCCTGCACCTGCACCAGTGTCATGCTCATGGCTTTTGCCTGTCTAAAGAGAGCACACCAAAGGCTCTCCGTGTTTTTACTAAATTAATCATCCTTTTCATAGAATGCTGCTGCTACCCAGCTCCAGCACTGGGTGGTCACAGCCTGTGTGGCCCGATCCTGTCTGGGAAGACTGGCCTGCCTTCCCCTTGCCATGGCTTGCTCACACAGTATTTGAATTGTTGGAACCTTAGGACAGGGGTTGGGTCATCTGGTCCCACAGAGGACTCTCTTCTCTAGCTTGGTGGGCAGGTAGGCAGCAGGTAGGCACCAGCTACGTCTTCCGCACCTCCTGTGGTCGGTGCCTTACTGTCCCCCAGAGCAGCCACCGTGTTACAACAACATGAGTTGCAGATTCTTCCACACTGACACTCTCTGACATTTATCCCCAAGTCCATCATTCATTTATTGAGTAAGCATTGTGGGCATTTTGTTAGGCACTGGGGCACAGCCACCAGCAGGACCTCTAGGCAAGAGAGCCACTCAGATGGGGAAGAAGAAACCACTGACTAACAGGATGTCATGTGGCCCTGAGGGTCACCTGATTTTCCAGACAGGGAAGGTGGCTAGAGGGTGGTGCTCTCTCTTCTCTAAATTGCCTCTCCTGGGAGAAGTTGTCTTGTTCCTTCACCAACCTGGCTCTCCCACCTCCTGCACAGGTGGCAGGTTGTCGATGGTCCAGAACTGAACACTAGGTGTGTGTTCTGCTCCAAGGGGAGTACGAGGACAATGCCACCCAGGTTCATCCTCAGAATGCAGGGGCACAGGGGGTTCCTTTCTGGAAGTTCATCCGATTGACTGTGTTCTCCTGTCACATTGGGGTACCCATTGGGGATCACAGCCCTAACCCAGGCGCCAGGAGAGACGCAAAGGTCAGGGGAGTTAGAATCAGGCCCCTCATAATGGTGTGAGCAAGAGGCTCTGAAAGTGTCCCTGGAGTTCAGGGGGCGCATGTGCTCCAGGAAAAACGGCCTCAAGGGAAGGTGGCCTGTGAGCTGGACAGGCAGAACAAAATGCCCCTGGATGTCAGGACGAAAATGGGCTCAAGCATCATCTGGTTTTGTGGGTGGAAAACAGCAGGAGCAAATGAGAAGAGGTGGGCCCCATCCCGGTATTCAGGTGACCTGGCTATGTGACATTGGCAACATTGAACGTGTTTCCCCTCTCCTTTCTCTCCCACCACAGCCCAACTATGGAAACCAGCAATATGGACCAAACAGCCAGTTCCCCACCCAGCCAGGCCAGTACCCAACCCCCAACCCCCCGAGGCCACTCACCTCCCCCAACTACCCGGGACAGAGGATGCCCAGCCAGCCAAGCTCCGGGCAGTACCCGCCCCCAACGGTCAACATGGGGCAGTATTACAAGGTCAGTCCCAGCCTCGCCACCACCCACGGGGCCCCTTCCCTACTAACCACCTCAGACCCCTAACTCCACCGGGATCACTCTGACCCTGCGCGTGTTAGCCCCAAGGACAGCAAGGCGTGGGTGATTTCTGAACGTCCCCATGTGTTCAGGGCGAAGTTCGGTGGCCAGAATGTCAGAGTGGCTTTTCTCAGTTCCTATTCTCACTGGTCTTGGATGATGGGTTTTTTTTTTTTTTTTCTCCTCTTCTTATTCATGGCACTCACAAAATAATAAAGGAAATATATTTTATTTAAAAAAAAAAGCACACGCCCTGTATCTATTCACATTTCATTCTAAACTTTGTCTCTCTATGTGCAGGTGGGCACTAACATGTTATAAAATTGTTATTACAGCTGTACCTTTGAAACTGTACCTTTGACTTAACATGAAATAATAAGAATGATACTGCTGCCAGAGCCCCTGGGGTTTTTACTTTTAGTGGCTGCCTAATATTCTGCTGAGATCACCATATCATATTTTATTATTCCCTCTGTTAGGTATTGGGGTTGCTTCTGATGTTTCACTTTAGAAATAATACTGTGATGAGGATCTTTAGGCATATAGCCTTTCCTTTCCTTATGATTATTATAAAATATGTTCTTGGGAGTAAAGAAGACACTTTACTGTTTTACATTTATTTGCCAAAAATCATGCTAATTTATTATGGCCATCCACTGAACAGGTTTACCATTTTGCTCCAACTTCAGCATATTAGGTGTTGCTCTTTTTGTAACTTCTGCTAAATTAATAGCTAGGGACAGAGAGAGGCAAAATGCTGTCGCCGAGGTGTAGCTGTCCCGCCCCGCTCCCTCCGCAGCCCAGCAGTGGATGGGCCCCTGTAGCATCCCTGTGCTCCTGGCAGATTTTACTGTCCAGAGGGAGAGCGGGCTTCTGATGGCTTTTCTGCCCCCCACTCAGCGTTGTTTATCTTGTTTCAACAGCCAGAGCAGTTTAATGGACAAAACAACACGTTCTCGGGAAGCAGCTACAGTAACTACAGCCAAGGGAACGTCAACAGGGTATGTTCCGATTTAATTTACAAATTCTAAGCCACAGGCAGTTGTTACCTCTAAAGGCTCTCACTGTTCCTGCTCCAGCCTCTCTGGACATTCAGAGGGGCCCATGGGTGCAGGTGCACTCCCTGGTCTCCTGTGCTGGGGACAGAGCTGCTCAGGACTGAGAATCCACAGCTCCAGGTGGGGTGGGCCCCAGGGTAAAGTGTCAGCCTGGCTGGTCTTGAAAACAAGAAGAAGGAGAGGGGCTCCTGGGGAACCTGGGCCCCAGATTCTGCAGGCCCCGACTCCATCTGGGGACCCTGATGGGTGGGCATAGAGGGTGTGGCCTTGAGTCGTGATGTTTGAAGCCCACCTGGTCGGGTGACAGGAGACCTGGGCTTTATTCCTGCTGCCCTGTCCTCCCAGGTTGTTCTGAGCAAGCCCCCGACCCTGAGCCTCTGTGTCCCCATTTGTCACATGGATGGGTAAGGGTCTCCACATGCACCTGACACAGGAGCTCAGTGGTGAGACCCAGATGAAGGGTGGGGAGGCCCTTCCCAAGGCTGTCTTCTGAGCGGGACAGAGATCTGTGAGAGAGAAGGGTTTCCGTGGTGGAGGCTCTCCTCCCAAGGGGCATGGCCCCGGGCCCCTGGGATGAGTGCAGTGTATGTACATAGCCATGGCCCCTTCTGTCTCCAGGATCCCATAACCTATGTGTGTTTTATCTTTCTCTCCAGCCTCCCAGGCCGGTTCCTGTGGCAAATTACCCCCACTCGCCTGTTCCAGGGAACCCCACACCCCCCATGACCCCTGGGAGCAGCATCCCTCCATACCTGTCCCCCAGCCAAGACGTCAAACCACCCTTCCCGCCTGACATCAAGCCAAATATGAGCGCTCTGCCGCCACCCCCAGGTGAGGGCCCTACCTCCCTCTGTTGGGCAGCTCCATTTGGGCCCCCCAGTGGGCTGGGAGCAAGGGGCTTAGTAGTCAGGCTGCCTGGGGATTGGGCATGCAGTAAGGACAGAGACTTGAGAGCAGGTGAGATACCCAGGGGCACATTGAAGGAGGGGTGGGCTGCCCACAGACAGCCCATCTCACTGCTGCCTGGGTGCCTGGAGGCTGGGAGGAAAATCTGTACCCAGCCACGGAAGGAGGCAGGGAGGCGGGTGGAAGAAGAGATGATGAGTAGCTGGGGTGGGGCCGTGTAGAATCGAAGAAGCCATGACTCACCGGTATGCCCTTGGCCTGGCTATGTCTCTGGCCCTGTTTACACACCCCTGCCTTCCTCTGAGCATGCAGCCCAGGGTGAGCAAGTCCCACCCACAGCCCAGGAACCCATGGCAGCTGGGGCTTGTGGCTCACCCACCTCCTCTCCTCGCCCCAGCCAACCACAATGACGAGCTGCGGCTCACATTCCCCGTGCGGGATGGCGTGGTGCTGGAGCCCTTCCGCCTGGAGCACAACCTGGCTGTCAGCAACCATGTGTTCCACCTGCGGCCCACGGTCCACCAGACGCTGATGTGGAGGTACGTGTCAGGGCAGGGGCGCCAGCCCAGGCGGGATGAAGGAGGTCCCCCGGGATGGCTTCCTTGGGCCCGAGTGTGGCCCTGGGCAGGTGGTGGCAGCATCTTCTGTCACCTTCACGTGTTCGGCATCATTGACTGGGCCCTGTCCTGCGGTTGTCATGGGAAGTCTGCAGGGGCACCGGGAGATGAGCAGTCAAGGTATCATGGCCTAAGGGCAGGGAGCAGCTGTCACTCACCCCAGAGGAAAAGGTGGCTGGCTCAGACCTAGGCTGGGAAGCTGTGTATCCCATCTGAGACCGTGAGCTGACAAGAGGGAATGAAGTCAAGAATTCGAGTGTGACTCAGGTGACCAGAGCCAGGAATGCAGAGATGATGCTGGTGCAGGGGCCAGGCCTGGGTCAGGCAGGCCCCGCCAATTGCAAGGGGCTGACCATTGGGCAGGGCTGCTGCTCAGACACTTCGGCACATGCTGGAACGCAAGGTCCGGAGGTTCCCTGCTGAGCCAGGCCCATGCTCAGCACCTTCCACATGTGACCTACTTTGATCTTGGAAATGGGCAACACTTTCCCTTTTGACAGAGGAGGAAGCTGAGGCCAGAGAAGTGAATTGGCTTGTGTGAGTTCTCACAGCTAGCCAGGGGCAGAGCTGGGACTTGGGCCCAGGTCTCCAGGATGCCAGAACCAACCCTAGGGGTCTCCACCCTTCAGTCCTTCATCCTCAGGCAAGACTCACACTGTCTCACTGTGCTTGTGACTCAGACCCCCTCGATTGCCCAGTGAGCATCTCCAGGACAAGAGCTGGGTCTGTGCCTGGCATGTGCACACACACCCCTGCTGTTTTCTTGACCAGGCTGAGCAGGCTGGGCGAGGTGGCCACAGATAGCTGGTGTGGGCGTTCAGAACACAGGAGCTGCAACACTCAGGCAGGAGGGCAGAGGCTCCTGGCACGGGACAAACCACTGTGCTGCCTGCCTGCACCCTGCTCACCCACACTTCTTACCTGGGAGCATCCTGGCCTGGGAGACCTCCTCCTCCTGGCTTGGTTGTCATGCATACGTGGTCACTGCTGGTTCCTGACACTCCTCAGTGCTGCGTCCTGGGGGGCCTCCTTGGGGAGTGCTCAGAACCAGAAATGGCCGTGACCTGAGAGGACAGTTCCCAGCAGGTCTGGAGACGGGCTTGGCTGGCCTCACAGCAGGTCTTGTCAAATGAGTGCCTGTTCTTTTGCCCCTCTGTCTCTGACCTAGGGAGCCAAGAGTGGACCCCTACAGGGAGGACAGTGCAGGGAGATGGGAGCTAGAGCAGCTGTGGGGTATGGTGGGAATGATTGGTGTGCGGGGATCTTGGGGGCAGTTTGGTTGTAGAGGGAGTATCCAGAATGGGAGAGGAGAACTCAGGCTAGGGGAACCGTTGGGGTCAGGGATGGGGTCCTAAGGGTCTCAGAGGTTGTGGTGCGTTCAGAGGTGTGTGGCCTGGCTCGGGGTCACAGAGGCCGTGGACAGCCCCCTGGCAGAGCTGCCCTGAGCACCCCCGTACCCCACCTAGGTCTGACCTGGAGCTGCAGTTCAAGTGCTACCACCACGAGGACCGGCAGATGAACACCAACTGGCCCGCCTCGGTGCAGGTCAGCGTGAACGCCACGCCCCTCACCATTGAGCGCGGCGACAACAAGACCTCCCACAAGCCCCTGCATCTGAAGCACGTGTGCCAGCCGGGTCGCAACACCATCCAGATCACTGTCACGGCTTGCTGCTGCGTGAGTGTGGCGGGCTGGGGGCAGTGGTGGCACGGGCAGTCCCTGTTGCACAGTGTGGGAGTGCGGGACACCCTGCCCCCCTCTGGTCCTCAGCCTTGTCCTTGGGTCACCAGCCCCTGTGCCCACAGCCACCAAAGATATAGTGTGCCCTTAGCTGCTCCCCACCTAGGGCCTGTGCAATAACCTTCAAACCGTTGGGCCTTCAAAGCCACTATGCCCTGGCTTCAGATGTGGCCTCTTCCCCCGGACACTAGGCCTCCATCTGTTCTCCACGTATGCCTCCAATTCACCCCTCCTGGCCCCTCCTCCCTGCCCTTCATTCATTGGTCCGGTTCTGTGTTCCTTGAAGCCGTGTCCTGCTTGCCTCATTCACCAGTAGTTGTCATTGTCAGCACCTTTCTCCCCAGACCCAGCTCCCCCAAACCTGGAGTTAACGCGTTCCCTTCTTTCCCAACCCTCTTGTCTTAGAGTCATGTATGGGGGTCCTTCCAACCCGTGACTTGTTACCTAGGGCCAGCTGTCAGCCACCCTCATGTGCCCTGAAGCTCAGGGCCCAACACACAGGGCTTGCTCCGGCCCCAGTGGAAGTAAATGTGTGCCCCACTCCACTGGCCTCTCTGTAGGGGCATGGAGAAGGAAGCACTCTGATCCTGCCCTTGCGAGCTTACGGGCACAGAGCCCACACAGAGACAGGGGTCACAGACGTGGGCAGCACATCCCATTCCGACTGGGGACTGTGATGTACTGGGTGAGGCTGCACAACTGTCAGAGTAAGGCAACTGATGGGTGGACGTTTGGGGTGTGCGTTCTGGAAGGCTTCCTGGAAGGGCGAAGCGAGGGATGAGCACCCTGGCCGGAAGGGCTGAGGACACATGATGGGAAGGCAGTGGTAGGGGAGGTTAGGAAGTGAAGTGGAACCCAGGCCTAAAGCCATGTGTCCTATAACCTTATCCAGAGAGTATTTCAGTGTCAAAGTCCACCTTGTCGATCTGCAGCAGAGGCGGCCTTTCCAGAGTGGTGTTCAGGCTCACAAGTCCCAGGACACATGCTGGGGGAGTGTCTCCTAGGCCGGCTGTGGGATCTTGGGAGCAGTCTAGGGCTGCTGAGGCCACAGGCAGGGTGGGGCGTGATGACAGTGTACAGAAACCGAGTGTCTGCTCTCTCCCCGCAGTCACACCTCTTCGTGCTGCAGCTGGTGCACCGGCCCTCCGTCCGCTCTGTGCTGCAAGGACTCCTCAAGAAGCGCCTCCTGCCCGCAGAGCACTGTATCACAAAAAGTGAGTCAGGGTGGGGACAAGGAGTGAGGGCCAGACCCCAGCCCCGCCTGAGTTTGGGACTAAGAAGCAGTCACCATTCACCTGGGACTGACGTTTGCCTCCATGCATGTCGCCACCAGGCCTGGAGTGTCCCTGAGCATGCCCCATCCTGAGGCTCCTGCCCTTCTCCTCGGCTGTTGTCATGACCAGACAAGCTGGGGGCCATAAGTGCTGGTGGGAGTTCTGTGTGGAAGAGCTGGTAGTCCAGCTTGGGAGCCAGAACAAGCATACCTGCAACAGCAGCACATGAGGCAGATTAAAACAAAATGTCAGGAAGCAGGCTTCCTGGAGGAGGTGAAGACCTGGGCCAGGCCTTTAAAAGATGAGAGGATTAACAGAAAAGGGGATCCTCATCAGGTGGAAGACACGGAGGGTGGATTCCAGATTGGCCTCTCTGCCTCAACAGCTCATGCTTTTTTTTTTTTTTTTTTTTTGAGATGGAATCTTGCTCTGTTGACCAGGCTAGAGTGCAGTGGTGCGATCTCGGCTCACTGCAAGCTCCACCTCCCGGGCTCACGCCGTTCTCCTGCCTCAGCCTCCCGAGTAGTTGGGACTACAGGCACCCGCCACCACGCCCGGCTAATTTTTTTGTATTTTTGTAGAGACGGGGTTTCACCATGTTAGCCAGGATGGTCTCGATCTCCTGACCTCGCGATCCGCCCGCCTCGGCCTCCCAAAGTGCTGGAATTACAGACATGAGCCACCACATCTGGCCAGCTCATGCTTAAACTCAGGAGAGGACTGGGCACAGTAGCTCATGCCTATAATTCTGGCACTTCGGGAGGCCGAGGCGGGAGTCTGGGAATTCAAGACTAGCCTGGCCACATAGTGAGAGCCTGTCTCCACAGAAAAATGAAAAATTAGCCAAGAGTGGTGGCTTGTGCCTGTAGTCCCAGCTGCTCAAAAGGCTGAGGTGGGAGAATTGTTTGAGCTGGGGAGGTCGAGGCTGCAGTGAGCCATGATCACGCCACTACACTCCAATGTGGGTGACACAGCAAGACACTGCCACAAAAAAAAAAAAAGTTGGGATGGAAGGACTTGGCTTGGAGTCCCATTTAAAGGAGACCCCCGGTGTGAACTCAGGCCCTGCGCAGGAGGTACAGGGCCACTCTCCACGTTGCTGCCCTGAGCCCTGGGATTCCAGCAGGCAGCTGTTCATTTCCATTTCCACATGTGCAGAGTGAAGTGCAGGAGTGCCTGAGGGGGCTTTTCACTGACCCAGTAAATCAGAGAAGTGCCAGACCGACTTTCCGTGAGCTTTGCAGACATCCCACTTCCTAGCGAAGGCAGGGCCTGCTTTGCAGAGATAGAGGAACTGCCGCAGCCACCTCCTCGGGCACACACACACCACACGCGTCCCACATGGAGACAGCAGCCCGGGCACCCAGCCCTATGACTGACACACTGTAGGCCCTCTCAGTGTTTGATGTGGGCTGGGAGGAGGACCAGGACGTGCCCCAGCTGCACGAGGAAATGGGGAGCATGTGCAGACCCCCCACCTCTGTAGGACGGCCTTGCCATCCTCACCTGTCTGTGCCTCCTGCCCCGCAGTCAAGCGGAATTTCAGCAGCGTGGCTGCCTCCTCGGGCAACACGACCCTCAACGGGGAGGATGGGGTGGAGCAGACAGCCATCAAGGTGTCTCTGAAGTGCCCCATCACATTCCGGCGCATCCAGCTGCCTGCTCGAGGACACGATTGCAAGCATGTCCAGGTGAGCGTCCCCAGAAAGCACAGCTCTGGCAAGCCACCTAGATTCTGGCTGGGAAGGTGAGGGGTAGGCAGAGGGGCAACAGGGCCTGTCCAAACACTGTCCGGAAGGATGTCATGGAGATCAGCAGCTGACATCACTCATTAATTTCAGCCATCATTTATCTTTGAGCATCTTTTCCATGTGCTTAAGGCCAAAGGGGCTACAGAAATGGTTTTGGACAGCCCCTGCCCTGGCAGATGGCAGATGCCAGTTGGAAGTCCCACACACATGGCAGGGCTGATTGGGGGCCCAAGAGCAGGGACACCACTGTCCAATTCATGCCTCTGTCCAGGGCCTTGCATCAAGCCAGTGTTCAGGAAGTGGCCCTGGTGTGAGTGACAGTCCCAGTCTGAGCAGGCAGTGACAGAGCAATGAGTAAACGTGGGCAGCCCAGCCTGGAAGAAGAACAAGGAGCCGTCCTCTGGAACCTGGGTGTGGTGGGCATGCAGAAGGGGCCCAGGGCTGTCACCTACAGCTGGTCCTGAGGGTGCAGTGGGACAGGAGCTTCCTCTCCTCCCTCCAAAAGAATGTTGTGGGCAAGAGGATGGTCTGGTCACCTTAGCTGTGTGATACAGATCGATGAACTTGATCAGACTTGTCTTCCATGCCTGGACTGGGCTGAAGGGGCTACCCCTGGCCTCATTGAAAGGGGCTGTTACAGGGCAAAAAGCAGTGAGAGTCAGCTGGGGTGGGGACCAGGAAGGCTTCTCAGAAGATGTAGGCACAGGGTCATTTGGGGTATGGGAGGTGTGGTGTGAGGGATGCTGGGGTGGAGGCATAAGGACTCTGCGTGGTAGAAAGGTGGCATTGCTTTCACTCCACCCAGCCCCAACCCTGGGTTTCTCCCACAGCCTATCTTTCTTTCTGGTGGGGAAGTTATTCCAAGGGTCCTTTAGGCACATTGAGGCAGTTTCTGACAGTCCTGGTCTCACCCGTTTCTGTCTGTCTGTCTGTCTGCCTGCAGTGCTTTGACCTGGAGTCGTACCTGCAGCTGAATTGTGAAAGAGGGACCTGGAGGTGTCCTGTGTGCAAGTGAGTGATGCCCACCCTAGTGGTGGCTTCCCCCATCCCCCAACCACAGAGGGGAGGGGCCGGCTACCTCCCACCTCCACCTGCCCTAAATGCAAACCAGAACCCAAACATGGCAGAGGGGCTTAGGTTATGGGGGCTCCAGGTGGTCCCTTGGTGTCACGCGGTCAGAGTCCCCCTCTCTTGTGCCTCCAGTAGTAACCAGCAGCAGGGGTGGGACCGCACTGACACTGAGGTGGATGGGCTGTGCCCCCACCTCCTTGGGTCCTAGAGCAGAGGCCAAGCTCCCTGTCTCCTTTTCCAGTAAAACCGCTCTGCTGGAGGGCCTGGAGGTGGATCAGTACATGTGGGGAATCCTGAATGCCATCCAACAGTAAGTGGGGCCCCAGCGAGGGGCAGGGGGTGAGAGGGGACAAGGCCTGGAATAGAGCAAGGTGTGCACGTGGATAGCCCTGACACAGCCCTCCCCTCCCAGGCCAGCAGACCGTGACCCACATCCCCTACCTCTCTGTCGCTTACCCTCAGGGGCCTCTGGATCTGGGGACAAATTAACTTCCCAGAAAGGATGAAAGCCAGCCAGAGTAGGAGGCTGACAGTGCCCCGCCCTGATCCTCCACCTGCTGCTCCCCAAGCGGGAGGCCTTGAGACCAGCTGCCCTGTGCCCAGCCACTTGCTTTTCTAGCCTCAGTCTCCCCATATGTCAAAGAAATATGGAGAAATCCCTGCCAGGCTTCTGCCTTGTCTACAGTGTGGTCAGAGTTGGGGCAGGTGCCTCAACAAGGTCACCTTAGGGTCTATCTGAGCTGGAGGTGCTTTTATGCACAAAGCCAGGCACCCCAGAGCCTCAGCTCTGCCACCCTTCCTCCCCCAGCTCCGAGTTTGAAGAGGTCACCATCGATCCCACGTGCAGCTGGCGGCCAGTGCCCATCAAGTCGGACTTACACATCAAGGACGACCCTGACGGCATCCCCTCCAAGCGGTTCAAGACCATGAGTCCCAGCCAGATGATCATGCCCAACGTCATGGAGATGATCGCAGCCCTGGGCCCCGGCCCGTCCCCCTACCCCCTCCCGCCTCCCCCGGGGGGCACCAACTCCAACGACTACAGCAGCCAAGGTGGGTGATGCTAGGCAGGGAAGAAGGGAGAAGGAGGGCAGCCCCAAGTCCCTACAGGGGCACAGAATTTCTGTGCTGATGGTGGCAGGGGCCAGGGATGTGGTTGAAGAGAGAGAAGTAACACGCCCCCAGTAAACAATCCCTAGTTTGCTAGACTTAAGGGTACATGGGCCTAGCCCAGGGGCTTCAGAGCCTGCCCTGGTGGGAGATAACGACTGCTGCCTCTTCCCAGCCAATCTCCTCTGGGTCTGCTGACAGCACACACTCACCTGAGTTCTTGGCCTTACCCCCTGCCCTCCCATATTTTTTCCGTGATATCTGCATTTTCCCTGCAACTCTCCTGCCCTCCTAGGGACAGAGTCCAGGTTCCTGGAGCCTTAGCCTTTAGCCACCAAGGTCACACACTGGCTCTTATACTCCCAGCTGCCCAGACCAAGTTTTACCCCTACCACCACTGATTCCTGGAAAGTACTCGCCACTGGGTGGCAGCTCCCGCTGGGATCCCTGATCTTAGGTCCCCATGAGAGGCCCAGAGAAGTTAGGCCACCTAGCCAGACTCCCACAGTGTGCCAAGGGTCAAGCCTCCCCACCTGCTGATCCTCTGACCCTTGCCATCGTCACATGGTGGAGGGCACAGTGACCAGGGAGGCGGGACAGCTGGCTTCTGCGCGCGTCATCCTGAGTCTGTTGCAGCTTTCTTTGTGGGCTTGGCAGAACCTGCACCCACTCTGGGCCTGGGTCTTGCTGGGTATGAAAAGTGCCCACATTGGGGAGTAGCTCAGTGGGTCTGCTATGGGCTCAGGCTGTGTCCCCCACTCCCCACAGGAGCCTGGCCCTCCCCCTTTCTCCCACTCTGCCCCCTCCTCCATAACTGTAAGGGCAGCACATCCCCTGGGGTACCACAGACCACGGGACAGGGCTGCGTGGCTACTCCATCCTACAGCCCGGAAGCCTCAGGCTGCTGTGGCCAACTGCAGCCTCGCAAGAGGAAAAGGACTTGGCTTGTATTTTTGCACACTCTCTGTTCCCTGGGGTGGCCACTATCCCTCTGGGTGACCCTCTCCCCTCCCCATCTCATCCCTTCCTAGGCAACAACTACCAAGGCCATGGCAACTTTGACTTCCCCCACGGGAACCCTGGAGGGACATCCATGAATGACTTCATGCACGGGCCCCCCCAACTCTCCCATCCCCCGGACATGCCCAACAACATGGCCGCCCTCGAGAAACCCCTCAGCCACCCCATGCAGGAAACTGTGAGTACCTCCTCCTCACCCCACCCCATTCCCCAGCCTTTGGGGTTGATGCCTTGGGATCTGGATACCCTGTTCCCTCCCAGGCAAGGCAGAGGATGAAGATTTGGATGTGTGGGCTCAGAAGGGAATAGGAGGGGTCTGACTGAGGCTAGATCGTGGCCTGTCAGCGTCCTTGGACTTGGCTGTTTTACCTAGGACTTCGGATTCTCTGGAGATGGGAGGAGCTTCAGGCTCTTCCCCAAACACTCACCCCTCCACGCATACACACACACATGTGCATGCACTTGCCAGTACCCAGCACACGCCATCAGCCCTCTCCCTCTCCCACTTGCACACTCTTACACTCACCTAACACAGTTCCAGCCACCTCGACTTTTGTCCCCTTATTCCCCAAGGATCTGAATTCAGGGTATTACCACCTCCAACAAAAGAAATGCTAGGAAGTCTCATTATCTGAAGAGCATTCACTTCTCGTTCTGTTTCACACTTACTGACATATGCCCTGTGTGGCTGAGGATGCCCCTGGTGGGGTAAGGTATCCTGTGCTGTCCACAGGCCCTCCCTTCCTGTGGCCCCAGTGGCAGTGGCAGGAGGCCCTCCTGTCCCCTGGAGTCCTCATCCAGTGAGTTCCACGTGGTTCTACTCAGTTTAACAAACGTTTTCTGAGCTGTGCTCTGCACAGGCCGTGTGACAGGTGTAAGCAGGACAGACAGGCCTTGTGCTAATGGAGCAAAACTCCTGGCAGTGCATGGGTGCAGGAAGAACAGCTGGGGTTTGGAGAAACTGAAGCCTCCAGAGGCTGAAGTGGTGTGTCTGAGGTCTCAGTCATTCTGGGCTCTCATCTTAGGGAGGAGGGGCCATCGCTGAGCTTTTTGTGGGTCCTGGGCCACACAAGCCAGGGAGAGGGCCTGGGGTCCCACCAATGTCTGGCAGTGGGCTTGGGTGGCCTGCACAGGAAGGAGCCTCTGGATTATACTGTCTTCCACACACCTGCCATGGAACTGCCTCAGGACTCTAGGTGAGGGAGCAGCAGCTCTCCCTCAGGACCCCAGGAGTCCAAGTGGGAAACAGATGCTTTGTGGAGCCTTGGCCAAGTTTTTGAAAGTTACTCTGTACCCCATGGGGCTTGTGATTTCTGGGGGCTTCTTTCCTGGTGCCCCTTCCTGGGTCCTGAGGGCATCCCACACCCAGAGGACATCAAAATCACACACACCCCCCCCCACACACACACACACATCCTGCGCCCTCCAGTTCCTACCACTGGAATATGGAGTGGGAATGCTGTCTATTTCCCCTTGACAACCGAGCTTTCTCCTGCCTTCTGTGAGCCCCGCTGCCTGCATCTGTGTGGCGGGATCTGAGCCTGTGAGTTGACCTCGGAGCCCTTTAAGATGCTCTCTAGATGGTCCTGTCCTCCATTTCTGAGCTCTCACTAGAGGGCAAGCAGACCTGGAAGTGCAGATGCGCCAGGCCGCTGGGGCAGGGCAGTCACAGGTAAACTCCTACCACGCCTGCCCAGGTGGAGGCAGCCACACCCCCAGCTGAGCCCAAGGCTGGGAGGCACTGCCATGCCCGCAGGGACTGGCCAGAGCGCTCCAACCAGATACTGCTGCCCCCACAGACTGCCCATACTTGGTGTCAGGTTGACAGGTGTGTCAGCAGTGCTCCAACAGCACCTGCCCCTCCAGGCCAGAGACATTCCAGCCAGATACGGAGCTGAGGGGCACAGCTGCCTCTGAAGATCCAGGGACTGTCTCTCTTGAGCTGGGCTGCACAGCTGGAGTGTGGAGCCCTCCCTGCTCTCCCAGGGTGGGCACTGAGGGCGTCTACAGGAGTGGGAGCCCCAAGCTGGCCTCTCACTGACCATGGATGGTGGCCCATTCCTCCAACCTCTTGTATGTGTCTTATAAACGGGTCTCCCAAGGTCTCCAGCATCACAGTTGCGAGGTCATCGCATTCTTGGGGCTTGGACTGAAAGGGCACTGTGCTCCCTAAGGCCACATTGGGTTGAGGCCCTGTACCCTGAGAAGGGGCCACCTGAACCGTGGGCAGAGACCGGCCCGTAGCAAGGCCTGGGAAGCAGTTTTAGGAGAAATAGGAAGAGGAAGTTGGAATTGGGCGAAGACTGAGGATGGTGTGGCCGCGAATTCTAAATGCACACGGGGAGAACATGCCCCAGGATGGGGCAGGGTGAGGGGACGAAAAGACCAAGGAAGCATGTGCCAGGCTGCTGTTCCAGTGGAGCACCTGGAGCATCCGTGAGCCACCTTCACTGGCAGAGTGAAAATGGGGCTGGGGGCTGGGGGCTGTCAGGGATGCTTGCAGTGGGATCAGGGCTTGGTCTGCAGGATTCCCCAGCCTTTCACTTTGAAGGAGGGTCTGCTTGGGACAGCAGCAGGCTAGCAGGGGAATGTTCACATCTCACCCACCCACCCACAGACAGCCCAGTTTTCAGTGCACATGCCCACGGGAGAGTGTGAGTCCTCTAGTTCATCTGTTAGAGAGGCACCGCCAGCCTCACCCTCAGCAAGACACCCACCATTGGTGAACCGTCGCTCAGTCCCGTTGTCCTTGGAGTGCCAGAGGTGCCTGCCTCCCTCACAACCCTGTGTTTTTGAGGGCTGGTGCCGACCAAGTAGGATGTCTAGGAAAAGGGTCTGGCAGGGTGTGAAGATGCCCCTGGCTGGCCAGGTGCCCACCCAGCCCTGCTCCTCTGACAGCCAGATTCCACCCAGGCTGCAGGGCTGGTGCCAAGACCCCAGCTGCTGCACACTTCGGGCTGGCAGAAGGTGCCTTCGTGCCCAGCATCACCCCTGCCCAGGGCCCACTTGGGAGGTGCAGACCCAGTCCTGAGCCGCACGCCCGCCCGATGCTGTCTGTCTGTGTCTGCTCTCTGCTGCCCAGCTTGGGGTCTGCACCATGCTGCGGCAGCCGCCCTCCCGCCTCCTGCTCCCTGGAACATGCCCATTCTGCTTCTCCATCCTGCCCTCGCTGTTGTTCGTTGTCTGGGCGGGGAGGCGGAGGGGCCTGGGGGAGCCCAGGCCCAGCTCCCCGTGTCTGTGCTTGTGTCGAAGCCCTCCCCACCTCCTGGGGCCCCACGTGGCCTGGGAGGTCCCCGCCGTCCCCCTGCAGCCTCCCCGATGGGCGGTTTTGGGGGAGAAATTTTTCTGTTTCTCTGCCCAGAAACAACGTTCAGCCTCGTACTGGGTGGCCACGTTTCGGGGGTTGTGACTTCCCTGGTTGTGTTGGGTTTCATTTTCTCCAGGCATCGTCGCCGTGCCTCCTCACCTCACCTCTCTTCTCTCCCGCTCTCTCCTCCTCCACAGATGCCACACGCTGGCAGCTCTGACCAGCCCCACCCCTCCATACAACAAGGTTTGCACGTACCACACCCCAGCAGCCAGTCAGGGCCTCCATTACATCACAGTGGGGCTCCTCCTCCTCCTCCTTCCCAGCCTCCCCGGCAGCCGCCACAGGCCGCTCCCAGCAGCCATCCACACAGCGACCTGACCTTTAACCCCTCCTCAGCCTTAGAGGGTCAGGCCGGAGCGCAGGGAGCATCCGACATGCCGGAGCCTTCGCTGGATGTAAGTTGGGGTCGCCACTCGCCTTGGCCTGGGGCTAGGCCTGGCGCCGGGACCTGCCCGAGAGAAGGGGTGGGTGTGAGGGCTCAAGGCCCCGAGGGGAGGAGGTGGGTGGGCGGCGGGAGGGCTTCAGCCAGACCTGGCTCCAGACCAGGAAGCCCCATGACGGGGAAGTGTTACCACTGAGGGTCCCCACCCTGCTGGCTCCTGTCCCCCCAGTCCCTTTGGCCATAGCCCTGAACCCCAGCCCTGACCCACCTTCTGACCCAAGCCCTGCGGGGTCCCTCGCGCAGCACAGGAGGGTCCCTGCCCTCCCCCAGTGGTGAGCTTGCGGTTTCTGTGTCTGCCTCTCTGGCCTGGGCAGGGAGGGCTGGAGGGAGAGGCCGTCTGTCTGCCTCACTGGTGTGTGTCTGTCTCCAGTTTTCTTGTCCGCGTGTTGTCCATGCCCTGCTTCCGCTTGCTCCATCGCTCACTCCGAGAGACCCCCATGTGGGTGACAGAAGGTGGGGGCAGAGGGGGCAACCTTGGGTCACAGCCAGGGGTGGCAGGCCAGCATGGGCAGCAGAGGGCCAGGGATCCTACGCTGAAGTCTGGAAGATGGTGGGCGTCACCCTGGATGATGGGGCTGGGCTGCTAGATGTGACTGGCGGGATGGGACCGAGCACCGGCCCCTCCCATGCCCACCACAGAGCTGGTGCCAGACTCCGGGAGGAGGCCTGTCGTCAGTCACTCCTGTTCTTCACCCCCAGCCCTGCTCTGTCAGCCTCTGCTCCAGCAGCATCAGAGGGCTCTGTGCTAGCTAGGACTCACTCACTGCGCAGCCATCTCAGGTCCTCGCCCAGTGTCCCCCTCAGCCAGGCCAGTGGGGCTGCCTTTAGATGCATGAGGCTTCCCATGTGACAGACTCCAAGGATATCTCAGTAGAGGGTAGGGACAGTCTGCAGCCCCTCTGGGGCCACAGGGAAGGATGGCTGCCAGCCAGCCACAGGCTCACCAAGGAGCGGCGAGCCCTTGAGAGAGGGATGGTGGGTAGGGGGTTGCGGGAACCACTCACCTTCCCGCCTTCCCACCAGCCCGCATCCTTGTGCTTACACATGAAGCATGTGATTTCAGCGGGGAGGCCCAAGTGACCCACCATGGGGCCTTCCCAGCTTAGGGCTGAAGTCCATGCCTGAAAAGGGTCAGCCCTGCTCAGGCCTCAGCTGGTGGGCTGCGGGTCCCGCTCCCCAGGCTTGAAATGAGCACCGGGGTGCCCCACACTCGGTGCAGTGGCTGGTGTGTGTGTGGGGATGCCTGGCAGGCCCAGGCCCAAGGCTGTTCTCTTCCGTTTTTTTTGGCTAGGGTCCTGAGAGGCAAGTGGAGGGGGACGGGCCAGGGCGCCCCTGCGTTCCTCACCCGGGGCCTGCCTCTCGGGCACACCTCATCTGAACTTCGTCACTCCTTCTTTTCCAGCTCCTTCCCGAACTCACAAATCCTGACGAGCTCCTGTCTTACCTGGACCCCCCCGACCTGCCGAGCAATAGTAACGATGACCTCCTGTCTCTGTTTGAGAACAACTGAAGGCCACCCAGTCGGGGCCATCCCTCCACACTCTGCCTCCCACCCCACCTGCCCTACACACTTTTCCACCTGGGAGCCTGTGCCCTCAGACCGCCCCGCACCAGAGCCACAGGCTGTGGGGCGGGAAACCCTCCCCTGCTGCAGCCCTCTCAGAACAGAGGGGTAGGGAGGGTGCGCCGGGAAGGCTGTGTGGGTCTGGAGTCCCCGTCCCGCCTGTACGCCCCGGGCTTGGGCCCATGTCCAGCGCAGGCCTGAAGACCACCCTCCCGAGAGGAACCAGCCCGGTAAGAGGGCGCACGCCGATGTGGCTTCCCGGTTCCTCCGCGTGTGCCGATTCCAGATGACCTTCCAGTGTCCCCAAGGTTCTTCCATCTTTTAGACTGTAACCCTGCCTCCCTGCTTCCTGGTACAGACCCTCCCTTAAGTGACTTTGGAGCCTGAGAAGGCCCCCGGGCCCCAGCACGGGCCCCGAGCCTTGGAGGAGCACTGGCAGTTGGTGGCAGTGAGACTAGCCTGCCCACCACCACCCACCACAGAAAAGCACAAACCTCTGGGAAAGACTACGTCTCTCGGGGGCCACTGGTCATCGGTTTGACCCCTGACCTTTAAGCCAAGATACCCCATAAACACACTCTCTCAGAAAGCAGAGAAAAAGGACAAGATATCTGTGTTTGAGAGGGAGTCTGCCATTCCTGCTTGGGGACTGGTGGGAAAGAGGGCCAGGACATCTCTGAGGCTCCACCTCCAAGCTCAGACAGGACCCAGCCTTGGGGGACAGAGAGAGCAGGTGTGCGCCCAACCAAAGTGATTGTGCCCTTGGTTGGGGGGCGGGGGCATATAACCTGTCAGAATCAAACAGGAGCGGCAACTTCAAACTTTGCTCCAAGCCACTCTCTTTTTAAACAGCAACGATTTAAAGCTATGAAGTCACCTGGAGAAAAGGAACATTGCGCTTGGACAGCAAGCAAACCATTTCTGTGTGTTCTGTTTTTCTCCTAGTCCCTCTCCTGCCACCTCTCCAAGACTTCCGTGGGACGCCCACTTCCCCCTGTGTCCTAGTTCTTTGTCCAATCAGATGGCAAGGGCAGTGTGTGGAAAGGCTGGGGAGGTGCAGAAACCCGAGCCCAGGGCAATGGTGTCTGTCCAGCCCCTCCCTCTGTCCTTGTGCTCCAAGCTACCCCCGGCTGCAGCCCAGGCCATGGCCATGTGCACTAGTATGTACCTGCATGCATGGGGGGAGAAGGGGGGCGTGTTTCTGGGCCTGCCCCAGACACTGCCCTTGGCTGCCAGCCTCCCCTGCCTGCACTCCTCCACCATCACAATCTCACCCCACACTCCTGCTCACTCAAGCAAAAGCAGCCTCTGGCCTTCCCTCCACCGCTTTGCTCCATCTGGCTTACCACTCTCCAGGGCCTCCTGGGGAGCTTGTCCTGTGTTCGCTTTGTTTCAGGGGTCCCATCTGTAAATTCTTTGCACCCTTCCCGGCCGCTGCCTGGGGCCCTTTCTGCTCTCCCGTCCACTGTGGGTGGTCCCCAGCACTCCTCTGTGGGTTTTACCAGAAAGGTGGCCCCAGCTGTTGACTTCCAGTCACTGTCCCAGACGGCACAAGGTTTTCTGTAGGAAAGCTGCCATTGCCCCAGCCCCTTTTTTTCCTTTGTCCCGTTGTCGTCGAGGTTTTTTCAAATAGTGTGTTGTTCAGTATGCAAATCAATTATTTTAAGAATCGCTTTTGTAAATATCTTTGTGAATATTTTAGTATCGTCTTTGATAATATTCAACATTTTCATGACCTGGTTATAGCCTTTGCTGGTGTTTTTAAAATATCTGGACTCAATGACAAAGACCGAGTCTTCTTTTTTTTAAAACAAAAACAATAAAAGCAACCAGGGCTATTTGTACAGTTGAAGGGGCGAACAGAATGGGCGGCTGTGCTGGGAGTTGGAAGACCGGGCAGCCTGCTATTTAGAGCCATCCCTCAGTCAGCTGGCAGGGACAAGCCAACGCCAGGTAGCATGTGGCCACCCTGCCCAGTGTCTGTGGCCTGGCAAGTGGCCATGCCCTGTGTCAGACCATCTGGGAAGGAAGCTCCAGACAGACTTACAGATGCCTTCCTTAGGAGTTCTTGCTTCCTGCCTTGATACTTTGCCCCAGAAAGGCCTGGGGTTCATTCTGGTTCTTAATCAGGGTGTGTCCACACTCTGCTCACAGGCGGATCCACAGCTTTCCAGTGCAGAGAGTCGAGATGCTCCCTGCAGCCCAGGCCCCGGGCACTTCCTGCAAACATCTCTGGGCTCAGCACCTGAGGCAGGTTTCCTGGGTCCCCTCTCCAGCAAGCCTCCACCAGCAAGCTCGGCCCAGAGCTTCCCTTTCAGCCGGCTCTGAACCGTGTGTGGTGCCTACAGCCTGCAGTCTGGAGACAAGCTTTTCCGGAGTGCTCTTGGAGCCAGGCCAGGGTGTGAGGGGGGTGCAGAGGCACCCGGGGCGGGAGCAAGCCCCAGGTTGTGACAGGTGCAGGTAGACAACGCCCATAAGCAGAGATGGTCCTGAGCTCTGGAGAGATCCTTCCCTGATCCTTTCGGACGACTACTTGGAGCCATAAGTAACCTCAGCAAAAACGAGGCCTCTGCAAGCCACTTTTCCATGCCAAGCATCCACCCGGCCGGCCCACAGGCATGTTTCTGCCACCCACTCCTCAAGATGGACAGGGAGCCAGCAGGCAGGCGGGAAGGGCCAAGTACAGGCAATCACCCCCATCTTCTTGGTTTGAAGCTTTATCCATGTATCATGTTCCCTGTAGCCATTTTATTTTTTAAGAAACTGCTAATACTTTCTCCCTAATGGAAGCCCTGACCCCCCAGAGAGCTACAGGTCTGCTCCCGACGGGCCTCGGGCCTGACCCGTCCACACAGGGCCGTGTCAGCAGCAGCGACTCAAGGGACGTGTGTACATATGTAAATGAGAAATAGAGACGTGTCAACAGATGCATTCATTTCTCTTGGAATGTGTATTGTTTTTATTTTGCGAAACAAAGCAAAACAACAAAAAAAAAAAGCTTGGAACTCCATCACGTGGAAAAACTAGATCCTGTTGGTTATAGCATTTGTGAGTTCTCCACGTCTGTCTCTCTCGCTCATGTAATATACTCTGACCCTGCGTGGAAAGGGATTTTTGTTCTGTTTTTATTTTACCTACATGTACTATTTAGCTTCAGTGTACTAGTCCTGCCACCTGTGTATTTTTAGGGTGCTATGGAAATAATGAAAAGAAACGGGGATTTCAGAAGACAATTGTAACCAAATTCATACTTTGTATAATTTTTGATATCATGATCACAGGTGATTCACACGTACACACATAAACACACCCACCAGTGCAGCCTGAAGTAACTCCCACAGAAACCATCATCGTCTTTGTACATCGTATGTACAATGCAATCATTTCATACTTTAAACTGGTCAAAAAACTAATTGTGATTTCTAGTCTTGCAAAGCTGTATGTAGTTAGATGATGTGACAACCTCTAATATTTATCTAATAAATATGTATTCAGATGAAACCTGTATATTAGGTGTTCATGTGGTTATTTTGTATTTAAAGATCAAATTATTTGACTATTGCTAGACATTTCTATACTCTGTTGTAACACTGAGGTATCTCATTTGCCCATGTTAATTTTTTTCTAAATAAATTGACAAAAATGAAGGTTTGCGAATTAGCTATTTTGTGGATGTTAAGGAGTGGTTTGGATGTTTTTGCTTTTGTTTTAAACCACACTCCCAGCCCTCTTACCCTCTGCACACACAAAAAAGAAAGGCAGGTGGTTTGGATGTTGAGTTGGAAGAACCCCTGTCCATGGGGGTCCCTGGAACCAGCCCCTGGTGGGGCAGGTGCAGTGTGTGGCTGGATGGTTGGGGAAGTTGGGGTGGCTGAACGGGGCCAGGTGGCTGCAGGGTGCTAAGGGCTCCTGTGACATGTGACTCAGAGTGTCCAACAGTGTCCCATCTCTGATGCTCCCTTGCGGATTATGTTGGTTTTAAGTATATTCATATTAAGCCACAGAGGGTGCTGTTCAGAGCACTCAGGAGTGTGGCTTCAATGGAGAGTGAGTTCACTGCAGCCATGCTCCCTGCTGGCATGTCGGCATCCCTGGCCTCCGCCTCTCAGTACACCTGACCCTCCCCTCCTAGGGAAGGTTAGGTTTTCCGTCCTCTGTGAGCATGCTTTACCTGGGCTACTGTCTCACGATGGCCCCTGCCCAGGCCATGGTTTTAACCATCCTTCCAGCCTCGGCACCAACACAAACTGACAGCACTTCATGTGTCTCTGATTGAAGTTTTGGGAATGGGCATCTGACACAGCCCCGCGACCAGTCCCTGCCCTCCCTGCACGCAGCCTGACCTGAGGGGGAAAGCAAGCGTGGCTGCTATGGCCTTTCCTCCACAGGGACTGTCCACAGAGGGAAGAAGGGCCGGGCCGGCACCCCAGAGATCTCCACTCAGATGTATCCGGGTGTCAGGAGAGTGAGGGGAGTGTGTGTGCAGGAGCCAGCAGTGTGGGGGAGGCTGCAGGGTGCTGCCTGTAGGGGGCTGGGTGCCCGGAAGCCCCCGGCTCCTGGGGCCTCTCTGAGGTGGCTGGAGTTGCTCCTTTTGGAGGGAGGTGGAAGGTAAGGAGGAGAAAAGATTTACATTAAATAATGGAACACCCACTGGCCACTGCTCAGCTGCAGGCACTGCCTTCTGCCAGCGTCGCCAGGACAGGCTGACTCTTTCTCTGAACAGACACCCCTCCGAGAGGAGGGTGGTTAGTTAGCTTGAGGGAGAGCTTCCCAAAGGAGACATGCCCAGCTCCCTGTGTCTTAGAGCAGCGTGGTGGGGCTGGGCCAGCACTTTCATAAAACAAAAAGAACACAGTAGAAAATATCAGGAGTGTGCCCTATAAAGTAAAGGGCAGCATTGTATCAAGAAACGTGTGTGTGTGTGTGTGTGTGTGTGTGTGTGTCTGCCGAGTCATGATGTTAATTCTTATTTGTGGGTTGTGGTTAAAAACAAACAGTTTGAATGCCATTGACTTAAAGGCAGGAAGTGGGCAGGGGAGCAGGGAGAGGGAGGAAGGGCAGTGTGCTCCCCTAACTTCATGATAATAAGCAAACCTTCCTGGCACTTCAGCTGGAGACTCTGAACCTGGGATACAGGCCTGTGGCTGCCCCACAAGGCTGCATGGAGACTGGCCGCCCCCACCTCAGCTAACTCCTCCCCAAAGGGTGACTTCCTTCTGTGAGCCTAACCCTGGGATGAGAAACATCCACCCAAAAAGCCTAACGGGGGGCCTGGCTTGGGACAGTTCAGAGCTCAGCCTCCCAGCATGTGGGGTCACACACCGTGGATCATCTTACATCTCTTCTTCCCCTAGCCCACTGTGAAGTCTCCCACCCTGAATCCACTGACTGTCTTCATATAAGGCCATAGGGTACCACTGGGGAAAGTCATTCAGCCCTGCAGGTTGATGCCAGGACACATTGGGATATCCAGCCTCACTGAGTACTAAGGGCACTCAATGTTTAATGGCCCCTCATTTCCTTTGTCCTCTGCTCGAGCCTCCTGCTAACCACACCCACCTCGCTCTCAGCAGGCTACCCTACCCTCACCCAGCTCCCCACTGTCCCCGCTGCTACCCACAGGCCTATCTCCATCCACCGTGGCCATATCTTTTTCCACCCAAGCCCAGAGGATGTGGTGTCCCTTCCCCAGTTGGGGCCACCCCTCCCCCAGCCCCTGACACCATCACCCCCTTCTCTTCTACGAGAAGCCTCACTCTATCTGCCTGCTAACCCTCCCCATACCTCTGCCTCCTGCCTCCCTGGGTTTAGTGGCCCAGGCTCTGGCATCGCGAGGTTCAGCTTGGGCTGGGCTCCACCCTTCAATGGCCAGTCTCTGCTCCTTCCCACGCAGGCTTCTTGGCCACAAAGCTGCCAGTGCTCACTCTTTCTCTGTCACCCTCATATGCTTGGTTCGTGCCCCACCAGTTCTCTGACACTTCTCCTGCAAGCTCACCAATGGCCTCTTGGTTGCTGATCCATGCTGCTCTCTGAGACTGGACCTCACAGCTGCACTTGACAGTTGCCATTTCTTCCTTGAAGCTCTGTTCTCTTGGTGCTGTGGTTTGAATTCTTGTCCCCTCCACAACTCATGGTGAAACCTAATCCCCAGTGTAACAGTACTAAGAGGCAGGCCCTTGGACCCAAAGGCTCTGCCTTCATGAATGGATTGATGGATTAATGAGTTGGTGAATTCATGGGTTATCATGGGAGTAGGTCTGTTATAAAAGCCAACTTGGCACACACTTGCCCTCCTCGCCACATGATGCCTTATGCCATGCTACACTGTATCATGGGGCCCTCACCAGATGCAGTCACCCAATCTTGAACTTCCCAGCCTCCAGAAGCATGAGCTAAATAAACCACTTTTCTTTATAAATTACTCAGTCTGTAGTATTCTGTTAGAGCAACAGAAAAGAGACAAAGACATTTGAATGCATGACAACTCCCTCTCTCATCTGTTTAGTTCTCCTGGCATCCCTCTGGTTGTGCCTTCCTTGTCTTCTCTACAGGTTCCTATGGTAACTAGGTACTTGTGGTGCTTCATCAGGATCTTCTTCACCAACTGGCCCACCCATCCCGATGCTGCTATGGGTGTTGGCTGCCAACAGCCCACAACATGCCTCTTTATTAGAGAATTTCCCTCAGCACACAGAAACCTCAACATGCCTCTTTATCAGAGAATTTCCCTCAGCACACAGAAACCTCCATGCCTGACAGGTTACCTGCCCCCTATCCCCACACAACCACCCCTGCCAGGCAGCCCACAGCCAAAATTGACTGCCACAAGGAATAAAAGGCCTCTTTGCTGGGGCATGGTCGGTGCTCTTGATTCCTCCCTGTGGGTCAGGTCAGGGCTAGACTTTACCTGAGGCCCATGCTAACTCCACTCTCTCCTCTTCCTTGTTCTGCCTGCCTCCCTCATAGGTTTCTCCCATGATCACTCCCTCAATAAATAAATCATGGAATCTGCATGCCCGTCCTAGGCTCTGCTCCTATCCAGATCGAAGACAGTGGGTGCTGGGGTCTGGGAGGCAGGCTGTGAGGATAGGATGCTGGAGAGGTACCACTGACCAGATGACAATTAGGACCCACCACTAGTGGCAGGAATTGGGTAACAGTGTGCACCTGCAGTGAACTGGGATGGGACACAGGTGAAGGAGCTACACAGCTGCAGCGATGTCTCTGGCATCTGAGAGATACGGGCAAAGAATAACTATTAAGACTATGGACTTGCTAAATGTGGCTATTGCTAAATGTCACCGACGCGTTGAAGAAAGGAAATTACAGTTACAGATATCTTAATTGGCAATTTAGAGTGTGAGAGTCAGAGGAAACCTCTTGGCAGGAAGCATTGGAAAGCACTTACCTTCTGCAGCCAGAGAGCAGATGGAGTGATAATCAGGCAGAGGACTCATTGTAAAGCAGCGGAACTTGAGTAAAGGCTGAATTCTCCATCCAGGGGGGTCTCCTATACCCAAATCAGACCCCTGGTAGGGAAGGAGACACCAAAACTTGGGATGAGGACTGTCACACCAATACCTCTCACAAAAAAATGTGTATTATGACCAGCTGACAGAGAAGGGAAATTCTTGAGTTTGGGTCACAGATGGGTTGACTTGGCCTGTGGGTGTAAGCCAAAAATGGACTGAGCCTGCACTACAGCCCCACCCAAGGGTGGCCCTGAAAGACGGTGGTGAGAGAAAATCCCTCCAATAGGCAGAGATTTTGCCAAAGAACCTGGTCATCTCGTGGCAAGAGAAGTGACCTGAAATAAGGATATGCACGTACTCATGGGCAGCGGTGAATGGCTTAGCTCTGTATTGGTCAGGGGCCTGGGAAAAACAAGACTGGACTATCAGAGACAAAAAGGACTAGGAAAGAGGCCTGTGGATCTGAGAGTGGCAAAAAGAGTGAAGATCACGTATCACATTTCAACACACACCAAAGAGCATCCATTGCAGAAGCGACACCAAACAACCAAGTGGGCAGGATGAGTCGGCCAGTGGACATCAGCCAGTCTCCGTCCTCACTCGTCATCCTCCATCCAGTCCTTGCACCATATGGGCTCATGAACAGAGTGCCATGGTGACATTGACGAAGTTATATATAACCCTAACAGCCTTGGCTTCCTCTCCCCAAGGTTGATCTAGCTACTGTCACTGCTGAATGCCCAGCCTGTCATCAACAGAGACCCAAGCTGAGCCCCTGATACAATAACATTCCAGGATGAGACCAACTAGTCACTTGGTGACAAAGTAGATTATGTATGACCCCTTCCCTCATGGGAAGGGCAGTGATTTGCCCAGACAGGATGGATGTGTATTCTAGGTAGGAGTTCACCTCTCCTTCCAATGGAGCCTTAGCCCATTGGCACCATGGCTCACCAAGAGTCTGATTCACTGACATGGGCCTTCAGTTGACATCACTGCAGACTAAGAGAGCTGAGTCATCAGGAGGGCTGCATGGCAGTGGGCACACGACTATGAGATCCACTGGTCCTTACACATTTCACACCATCTAGAATCTGCCAATCTATAGGGGATAGAGTTGCCTCTTAAAGACACAGCTGAGGTACCAACTGGGAGGCAATACCTTGTCAGT